TGAAAATATATTTAAATGTATAATTGCAGACCGATTTTTCAATACACTTATTTAATTTCTAGTAAAGAATGCAATGGCACCATTGAATTTTAGTGAAAGTGGACTTCCAGAGGTTAATCCTGAAACAATGCAGAGTAGTTTGCCCAATGTTTTCTGTGGTGGAGATTTGGCAGGGATTTCAGAAACAACAGTAGAATCTGTTAATGATGGAAAAACTGCATCCTGGTTCATGCACAGGTATCTCCAGGTGAGCTATATTAGGTGACCTGTAAATATCAGTATTAAATTAATGACCAGCCATAAAATATACAATAAAACTCTCCTGAATGTTATTTTTTACAGGGATTTTGAGGATGTCCAAAAATATGTTTTAAGCTATTGCTTATCTTCAGTTTTTATTAATTTTTCTTACAGTATTTGTTTATCTGTCCACCCATTTATTCATATTGACTTCTGTACATTTAAGAACAGCAAGTCACTGGTGCTTATATAATATTTAAAAGATATCATAATATCTTTGTTATGTATATGAAAAACTACTTTTATATTTCTTTTGGTTTTGTATTTGCTAATTTGTGCTTAGAACAATCTGAACTTACAGCAAAATGGTATGCATTTGAAGCTCTGGACAATTTCCTGGACAGTTTCCCTCTTCTGATGGCCAGATCAGAAAGAAGAGTGGCAAAGGACAAGATGTGTCTTCACTGGCATAATTATTTCAAGAAAGGAATTTTAATGATTGGCATATGATAAAGCAATTAAAAATTTGTTTCACTCAAGTTCTTTTTCATGTTTTTACATTAAAGATGGAAATGAACCATTAGAAACAAATCTTGTATTTTTAGTCAGGGGAAGATGGGACATTTTGACATAGGGTGTTTAAAAACATTTAAAATTCTGAAAAAATTGTGATATAAGTTATTTTAGTATGCAAATCCTTCCTTTCTATATCACTGTTCTTTAGTGGCTATTGTCATGGGCATCTGTAGTATATTGAAATCTGTTATATTTGTTTGTGCCTTCGATTTTTGTATGGAGTTCAGCTGAAAATATAATAGTGACAGGAAAACTGGACTTGCACTATTAGATTCAGTTTCAAGAGTGGATTTTTAAGCAGTTCCAGAGGCAGGCTCTTGTGAACATTGTGAAGAACCGTCAGGTTTCATTAAAGCAGGGAATATATTTATTAGCCAGTAGTTACTAGTTTCTCAAGAGTGATTTTGCTCTAGAACCAATTAAATTAATGATAAAGCAACATTAATTCTCAGAGTCTGGTTGGAGTGAAGGTCTCAGAAGAGCCCCAACTTCCAATTTTCTACACTCCTATTGATGATGTAGATATCAGTGTTGAAATGTGTGGAATGAAGTTCATCAACCCATTTGGATTGGCATCTGCTCCCCCAGCCACTTCCAGTGCTATGATTCGAAGAGCTTTTGAAGCAGGTTGGGCATTTGCTGTAACGAAAACTTTTTCTTTAGATAAGGTATGTATTAAAAATTTGAAAGTTTTTTGTGTCTGTGGACTGATTGTTGTGACTGCTTCATGATCAGCTGATATATGTTACAGAGTTCTCATTTCCTAAGTGTGCCACCATTGCTGACTAACTGCTTTATTCATTGGAAGGTCCCCTTAGCAGTATTTGAAGATATTCTGTGTTCACTAACGTTTACGCATTTATGTATGTATTGAAAATACTGAAAAGAAGCTTTGCTTTGAATATGATTATTGGAATAAAAATATGTTTCAATGATTTGGCCTGACTGAATAGTCAGTTACTTATGTCCCCAATGCAACTACAAATATGACAGAAACAAACAAAATAAAGTGATAAATAATTGATTGTGCCACAAAAATGGATGCATATGTTTTATAATGACTGAATATAGAAAAGCGTAAAGGCTTAAAATTATACTTTATATTATGGTATGTTGTGATGTGGTCCAGAAAGATGCTTTATCCTGAAAACTTTGTGGATGCTTTTTTCAGGATCTTGTGACTAATGTTTCACCAAGAATTGTGAAAGGAACAACATCTGGTCATCACTATGGTCCACAGCAGGGTTCATTTTTGAATATTGAGCTTATCTCAGAAAAGTGTTCTGAATATTGGTGTCATAGTGTAAGAGAACTGAAGAATGATTTTCCTGACAAGGTAATGAGTGAACTGGTTTACTAAGTATGTTTTAGATTAAAATGATGAATAAAATTTTCTTTATAAAACTAGTCAGTCAGGCAGTGTGATGCCTGTTCCTCATTTGTGACTCACATTTGGTGATGGGAGGTGAAGGTTCAAGTTCAGCAGTTCAAAATTCCGTTAAAGACGTGGTTCAGCACTGCTTACGGAGCAGTCTTTCAGTCATTGGCTAGTCCTTGGCAGTCATATTTGAGTAAAGTAGCATCTTCATGGCCAAACTCAGTTA